TGTGGGGTTCTAAGAATCAAATGTGTGAAGTAGAGAAATTAAGGTGTTAAAAGAGGGAATCAAGTTAGTGGACTCCCTCTCTCTCTCTCTCACATAAGAAAAGTCAATCACTTTCTAAAATCATAGTTAAAAGGTTTAAACAAATTAAAAAGGTTGACCTAGAAATCTAAAATTCCTTTCAATAAAAGATATACTTTACACCAAGACAACCTTTTTCTCCATTTCCCGCACTGCTTTTTGTGCAATAAAGCCATAAAAATTAATGAGTGGGTTGTGGTTGTAGTCTTGTAGAAAGATCGACTTGTTTAATAGCTCACATGACTTGGGAGTATTTAAAAGATACCTTACCAAAGGAGGCAGTGAGGCACCATCTAATCTTAATCTACGTATTTTGAGGGGTGGCAATTGGGTGGGTTGGGTTAGGTTTGGTTTGGGTTGAGTTTTAACTCAATTCATTTAATCCATCAATTCATTAATGACCCAGTTATATAAAATTAAATAGATTGGGTTCTATCTAAACCCGCTTTAATGCAATCCAATCCGTTCAAACCCATTAACCTTATATTTATGGACTTAAAAAACAAACTAACTATCTCTTAACAAGTAAATTAGTCATAACTTGGTGGAAATTGTAGTTATTATTCACACAAGTGGTGAAGGTTCAAATCATATTATATGCATGTACTTTTTGCACAAGCGGCAAAGCCATTTGACTATGTTCAGATTTTGGATTTGACCGAACAACTTGGGTTCAAACCGGTTAGACCAACTTAAACCACTTAGGTTCAAGGGTAGTTGAATTGTTTAGATCTGGATCACTCCGGTTGGACCGGTCCAATCAATGGTGGATTGACTTGGACCAGATCATATCAGGTTTGTGCACGAGTTTGGGATTGGACTGGTCGAACCAAACCGGGTTAATGTAAGTAAATCGGGTCGGTCTGGATTCGGGTTGGGTGTGTGGATATTTGTTGGATGGATGGTCCAGATTGTGCAAAGCACGCAAAGGCCAAATCATCCCGCTCAAAGCCATTTCAGATTCGGGTCAACCGGATTGGCTTGTACCGGGTTGGATCGGACTTTGTGGATATTGGCTGGACTAGACGACCCAAATCGGACATAGCAAGCGGCACCGAATCATCCCACTAGGGTCTATTTTGGATCCGGGTCGACCCGGATCAATATATGCTAGATCGGGTTAGACCGTGTTGAACTGGTCTAGACTCGGGTCAAATTGATTTGGATTTATGTTGGGTGAAATGTATTGATTCAAGACAAAACTAAATTTAGTCAATAATTAATAAAAAATTAATGCATTAATTATAAATTCTTTAATTCAAATGAGAAAACAAAAATAAAATGCTAAGGAATTAATACTTATGTCTATAATGGTTAACCCAATGGTTATCCACAACCCAACCCATTTAAATGAACGAATTAGGTGATGGTTGATCACACAACCCGCCAAGTAAATGGGCGAATTGGGTGAATTAGATATTAGGTGGGTTCAGCGAGTTGGGTTAAAAATTGCCACCCCTACGTATTTCAATTCCATAGGTGGGTTCACCGGATCCATGACATAAAAGTTAGAACCTACGACAAAAACCAAGGCCAATAATGCGTTTTGAGTAAAAAAGAAAATCTGAAATCGAAGGCGAGTAAGCCTTGAGCCAGAAGCCAAGAACAATGAAAGCAGAAAGGGAGATGATAATGCGATGAACTCCGTCATAGATGTTTGGCATCGATGCTGATTCTTTCTTATCAGTGATTTTTTGAAATTAGTGTTTTTTCAAAAATAGGTAAATTGTTATTTGATATCATTTCTGCCATGTAAGTCAATTTTTGAGAAATCGACTTTGATTTTGTTTGATATCGATTTTTAAGGGCCAATTATTTTTTTATTAGAGTTATTATTCAATGCCATATCATCATTGAAAAAATTGGAAATAGCTAAAAATTAGAAAATTACCAAAAAAAAGCTGATCCCTAAAAATGGCTGATTTCAAGAATTGATTTTTGACTTATTTCTTGAAAATCACCAAAATCGACCAATCAAATACAAATTTTAACACCGATTTGTCTAATGCTAATGTGGCTACGATATGACAGTGATTTTTAAAAAATCATCATCAATGCCAAACATCACCTACACACAAATATTAATTAGAATTGTGTGTTTTATAGTCTTCTCATGTAAAACTTTTGAATAGAATCATATAATCAAGACAAACAAAGAATGAAGTCTTTATATCCAAATCTAATCCACAAACTTGGTGAGATAAATTGGATGAGTTCGTTGGCCGAGTTCAACAGATTCAATTCAGCCCAGATAACTCGAGTGAGTGTCAAGCTTTTTTAGATGGTCAGAGTGACTTCCAAGCTGTAGTGGTAGTTTTTAATTCGTTCAGTCACAATCATAATTTCATACCACATTACAGCCATATACTTGGTGCCCTGAGGATTAAGGTGATGACAATAATAATGCAGATATGCATCATCTCTTGCTACAGTTAGTTGAAAAAAAAAGGTATGTGAATATTGTCAGATGTATATTGTTTGATTTGTTTAAATAAAAAATACAAAAAAAAATGTTTAAAATAAAAATATTTTAAATTATCTTTATGCTGTATCTAAATAAATTTAGGGTAAATTGATGAAACCTTCCTTAAACTTTTTGACCGTTGTTGAAACCTCTCTTAAAGTTTGGTGATTGCAATCACATCCCCTAAACTTTTTGATATAGTTGCAACTTGCAAGTAGATCCCCTCTGTTAGAATTCTCTAACAAGAAGTATAAAAATGTTCAAAATACCCATACAATTATTATTGAGGCTAGTTTCTGCAGAAAAACACAATGCAAACCTTATAAAAACAAAAAAAAAGTAGATAAATTAAAGTCTAGCTTTACCTTTGAGCGTTGATATGAAGGGAAAGTTTGAAAAATAAATCAGTTTCAGAAAAGAGATTAGAAAGCTTCGGGCTAACAATTCATATGAAGAAAATTTGAGAGAAAAAACAGAACATTTTGATCAAAAGTAACAATATGGGTATTTTGAACATTTTGATGCTTTTTAGAAGTGACATCCATTAAAAGGTATTTAAGACAAAATTGACTTAATGAGTATTTTCAAATTAAACTGTAGGTAAGTTTTATGAACTTAATTTTTGGAAGTGAAATCAGGCTATTATTAAAGTTCTGGAAGCTAGATCTTATGATATCAATACTCAAGTGTGGAATTTGTTGATGGATATTTACAGTCTGATATCAGGTGGGTTCTTATTTAGAAGCCAACAAGGCCGCTCATCTCTTGGCAGCCAAAGGAGCAGCTGGGTTGGAAGGCAATTGATTTTGCCCCCTTTCCTGGCTGTTATCTGCCCTATCACAGGATTCTGTTTTGTAGTTTTTTTTTTATTTATTTTTTCCTGTTTTCTGTTGTTCTCGCTGTTGTTATCTGTTTTTTCTACCAATAAATAAATAAATAGACCGTAGGTAGGTCCAAATGATCCGACCATCCAGCCCGCTCTCTGACGACATTGGCTAGTTGGCTACTATCTAGCTGTTGGCCATTGCCAATGTTGGGAAGCATATGGCCCATCTCAATGTCTCGCTGTCTATTCCTTACCCAACAAGAAAATGGTGCTTTACAACCAATCATGAAGCTGCCCTTCACTACCTTCCCTAATTGGCATGCCGCTGCGTTAAGACCTCGGGTGGGAACTTTATTGTGGGGCGGGAGCACGCATTGGATGATGACAGCATGGTGCTTGGCATACGTTTATGATTTGGAATGTAACATAGCATTAATAGCTCCCAGTGGCGTGGAGGTGGAGCACCTTAACTTAAATCCTCAATGACACAATATCACGTTTTTTTAACAAATTATGGTAGATTTTTTTTTCAAGTATTTTCTAGGCTCAAACATGAAGAAATCAATTCTTTCTATCAAATATTTCCTTTGATCAAATAATTGGTGATTAATGAATGATACCCTCTTTGGATTACGTGGTCAATCTAGATCGTTCATCTGGATCTAATAGATAATTTGTGGATTTTCAACATGTAATCGAAGCATGGAGTAATGGTGGATTCAGCCTTTCAACCTAGAGATCCAGCTTCATATCTTCTTACTTTTAATTTATGTTGACATTTTCAACGTATGGTTGAATCAGATAGTCGGGCTAATGACCTTCACCCGGCAGATTTTGGGCCTGTCTCACCAGTCACCACAAACCCTTTCAAATACATCGACTTAGTAAACACAACTTGACCAATTAAACTGTTGACCCATTTGGGCGTTTGGCCAAGTAAATGAACCAATGCTTAGAGACTAATTCTCTTTTTCTGTTTAACAGTCAAACCAGCCAACCTATTAACCACTAAAATATGATTTAAAATTTTTCAGACAACACAACACGCCATATTACAAAACACCCTATGGCGTAGGAAATTCACCCCCCAAGTTGCCATATGCAGGATTATTTGATAATCTTGATAACACATCAAAGAAACCATATTTCCTCTTAATATTAATGATCGCTAACAAATAAAATTCCGATTATAGTGCTAATTTTAAGAGCATGTCCTCATTGGAGTCTCCGCCCGAGTATGCCCTCATGTCTGTGTTCTTCAAGGCTACATTGGCCTACCCCTCACCAGTACAAATCTGAATTGGGATCTGCTCCTCACACAGGGCGCCTCAAAATGACCTCATAGGCACATCCCACTGTGCATGGGGAACATCTCCCATAAATAATAACACACAAATATGGAAGATGTTTCCAATACACGGTTTGGATGTACATGTGAGGTCAGTGTGAGGCGCCCTTTGTGAGGAGCAGATCCGGTCTCTACAAACCCATAAATTATAACTTGCTTTTCTCTTGCAAATTCTTATACGCATACTTTTTATTAGCAATACCAACAAACTTGACATGTGCCTTTGTCAATGGGATGCTGGGTCGCTTTATACTAGAAAACAAATTCTTACTAGAGATTCTATCTTTTCTATGCTATAGTCATGCTCAACATTTCATAAATTAAGGACTATTTAGTGGATATTGTACAAGGATCTATTTTGTTGCTTCAAGTGCTGACAAGTGAAAGCAACTACTAAATTGTTTTTAGCTCTTTAGGAAGAAAAAAAGAAGAAAAGTCTTCACTTGTTGGAAAGGGAGTTCGGGGTGATGAGGGTTATGTGGTAGGGAGTGATACGGAGTGACTCCGTACTCTTTGAAATTAAGGAGACCTCCATTAAGTTTGATGATTTTTCCTGGATATAGCAGAGAACTTGTCCATAAAACTAAACCTATCTCCCTCCACTTGCTCTACATCTCAAGATGTACCAAGGTTCAACTCATGGAACCTCTTCAGTAAACTGGACTTGTAGCTCATGAGTTCGGCATCTTCAACAGAATCGGGAGTAGACTTAATAACTGAGATTGCTCCAGCTTGGTGCAGGGACCTGGCTGCTTCATCTGCAATTTTTAGGAGGATTTTCACATTCATTCCATCGATAAAATCAGAGGGTAGCTCCATCAATTAAAAGACAATCCATCACAAACTTCATTTGAGAAATCTGATGTGCCAAAATGATTTCAGCATTAACATTGGCCTTATGAAATGGACTGCATATAGATTATAGCTAATTCAAGGGAGAAGACTATCACTAGAGTCCATAATTCAATGCAGCAAATTTAGCATGTCTGACATAATTACCTCTTTGCTATGGTTATGACAGAAGAAATAACAAGATACCCATTTAGCCCAAAACATCTATATGCACCATGGTCCATATTTCTTTTTTTGGTAGTCACTAGAGTCCATATTTCAAACAGCATAAATGTAGGAAACCTCTAATTCAGATGCCAACAAGCATGTATTGGAGCTAAAAGCAATTCTTTAACCCCAAAATAGAAGTCAACCCAATTCACAGGACAAAGTGGTAATTACCATATCTCAGTCTGACAAGCAGGGTTGACCCTTATCAACCTAATGAACACAGCTTACTCTTTTGTTTTGTTTTTTTTTTTGGGTAATGAACACAGCGTACTGAAGAGGCAAATAAAAAGTCTACGCTAGTCCAGTTTTGCAGTTTAACCAAATGCATTTTTATTTTTTTGATAATTAAATGCATTTTTATTGATAGCTTGTTACTTTTGAATTAAAATTTCAATTTACAAAGTGGAAGTGCCTTGCACCCCAAAACATCTTTGAGATTGCATCAATGATCTAACTCAAAATATTAGCACCACCATTTGTCATTCCTCAAAACAAGTGGCTAGAGCATCAGCCATACAATTTGCCTCCCTTTTTTGTCCATAGAAACTTAACTCTTAATTTTTGTGCCTAGCTTCCTTATTTTTTTCTTTTTGAAATAAGTTAACTGATTTCATTAAAGGAAAGAGTGGTACACAAGAAGGTGTACAAATACAAAGCAGGGGCCAGACCCCTGAGAATTACACAGGAGGAAAATTTTCACAGTACAAGGTCTCCAGAATGACTCCTAATTTTGCTAGACCATCTGCAATGGCATTTAGCTCCCTTGGGATCCAGTATAGAGAAACATTCGTATGAGCTAATAGGTCCCTTGTCTCTGTTAAGAAGTGACCAAGTCTCCAAGGTCCAGCCTCCTGTTGTCCCAGCCATCTTATAGTATTTGCTGAGTCACCTTCGATGGAGAAGTTCTGAATACCCAGTTTGCTGACTAGGCAAATCCCTGTGAGAGCTGCTAACACTTCTGCCTTTGTGGAGTCGGCTATCCCAATCGGTCCACTGTATACCCAGCAGGTGAGTCCGTTTTCATCTCTTAGGATTCCCCCTATGCCAGCAGCTCCAGGGTTACCAAAAGCACTTCCATCAAAGCTTAGAGTCCAAGTTCCTTCCCTTCTTATTGGGGGAACTCTGGGGGGGAGTGGGATAGAAGGGGAGGAGATTAGAAAGTTATACACATTTCTGTTAAGGTCATTAACATTGATTCCTGTGAACTTCTCTGAGCTGGAAGCCCACAAATTGCAGTAATAAGTGATGTGGTTGATCAGCTCATGTTGAGGGCCTGGGAATAGGATCTCGTCACGGGTCGGTCCACGGGGAAAACCTCTTGTTTTCCCTTGTTCCTTCCTGCTCTTGATGAACCTATCTTGGCGCCTCTGGTGATTTGTTCAAGAGATCACCAACTCTCCTAACTCACTTCTTTAACTGAATATTCGATATCCTCATTCAATAATGGTGTCTCCTTAAATAGGAGATTACAAGAGTCCTAATCTTAGGGAGTCTCCTTG